TTTTTTTTTTTTGGACATTCAGTTACAAAGCATTTTCAACGGTGATTTAGAATAAGTATTTTTGACTTTCCCGGAAAAGATTTCAATTGATGAAAAATGAAGCAACATTTTTCCAGGAATTTTTGAATCAACTATTATATTTATTCAATGATCATATTGTAATGAAATGGAGAAAAATAGATCTCTAATTTTTATTTTTACGAAATGTTTTAAATTTCTTTTCAATAGACAATGTTATTATTATAACTCTTTTTTTGCTTAAACTCTTTTTGAAAAAGAAAGAAATAGTTTTGCCTTCGTTCATTGACAAAAAAAAAATCATGTACAAAACAAATAAACAATCAAATTTCTGTTTCTCATGCAAAACTATTTAGATTTCTCTTTAGAGAAATTCAATGAAACATACAATAAAAATAAAATAAACTTATATTTGATTGTACATCATATTATATTAACTTTAACTTTGTTAACAATTAAAGAAAAAAAAAATAAAAGTAAAAAACAAAGGTTTATTTGAGAAAAATGATATTCTCGACAAAATATCCAATTAAAATATTTTAATTAAAATTTATAAAAAAAAAAAAAAAAAATATGTTTTATATTTAATTTCTTTATTTTATTTTCTTTAGGTCTTGTTAAATATTTTTTTGGTACATATAAAATAAAATATCATGTACATGGACTTGATCATGAATCTGTTGAAATTGATTTTACACCACCATATAAACGTATTTCATTGCTTAATGCTTTAGAAGAAGCTCTTGGTAAAGAAGATAAATTTCCATTAGCCAGTGAACTTACTACAGATATTAATAGTAAAAAGATTAGGAAAAAAATAAGAAACCTATGTCTACTAAAATACTTTTTTATTTCTTTTTATAGAAGCAAACAAATTCTTTGATAATCTTTGTAAAAAACATCATGTCGAATGTACTCATCCAAGAACAACAGATAGATTAATTGATAAAGTAATTATAATATAGAAAGAAAAAAAAACATCAATAAATTTTTTTTTTACTGCAGATATTAATCTAACGGTAAAATATTTACTAGTGAACAATTTTTTGTAGTCCCTTTTGCTAAATAGAACCTATTGAATTTGAACATGTTTTATTTTTTTTCTTCATCTCTTTCTCTGTTCTGTCACCTATTTCATATGCACTATGAGTACGTACATTTTGTGTATAATTTGACTGTTATACGTGTAAAGTAAAGAACAATATCATGATATGAGTTCACTTTGTCAAGAAAAAACAAATTGGCTAGAAAAATATAATATATCACTCAATTCTATTTCAAATATTTTAAAACATAAAACATATCAGAATAAAAGTGTTAGACGAAAAATAGAAGGTATGAATGTGCAAAAACTAGACGATTAAGTATATGAATGATTTATATAGAAAGACACAAAGAAAACATAGTTCAAAAACAAAAAGATAAACAATATAAGAGAATTCTTTTTTAAAAATAATAAAATATTGTTTTGTACTTGAAAAATCTTTCAATTTAAATCCTTCAGATGACAATAGATGAACAAGAGAATAAATAACAAAGTCTTTATTTATGATTAATATTGAAGTAGATTTTCTGGAATCTATTCTTCATTTCACAACAAATTATGTTTCAACTCTCTAAAGTGAACGCCTTCATATAGTGAACACTTTTGAATAGTTCCGAATCATGTTCACAATAGAGAGATTTCACTGTATAAGTATTTTTTTGTCAAAACCTTCTCCAATTCAATAGAAAAAGTAAAACAGACAAATATAAAAGAAATCTGTGATATCAATACGATCCCTTAAACTCGAAACATCAGTAGCGGATACAACTCCATATCAAACTACATGCTGAACTTATTCTCTTTCTCGTAGAGAAGAGTCAAGCAAATATAAATTGTCTGCTTGCTTCCTTGCTTGCTTATGTGTCCACACGTCACTGATTGATCGAAGTATACTGTGAATACAATAGGGATTATTTTCCATAAAACTTGACCAAAGGTAGTCGAGAGTGGGAATCCGAATCCGAGGTCAGTTTTAATTAATTATTAATTGATTATTAATTATTAATATTTCCTATAAAACTCGACCAAGGATAGTCGAGAGTGGGAATCCAAATCCGAGGTCAGTCTTAATTAATTAATTATTAACCAATAATTAACTGATTAATAATTATTAATTTTTTTCAAAAACAATTGACCAAAGATAATCGAGGGTGGGGAATCCAAATCCGAGATCGGTTTTAATTATTAACGTATTATTACTTAATTATTAATTATTTATATTTTTGACAAAATTTGACCGAAGGCGATCGAGGGTGGAGAACCCAAATCTGAGATCTGTTTTAATTATTAATCATTAATATTTTTTACAACACTTGAAAAGGAGAAATTGAGGGTTAGGAACCTGAATCCGAAGTCTGTTTTGATTTTTTTCTAAGTACTACTATTATTAGTGTCTTTTCTGGAAAACTCGATCAAAGATTTTTGAAATGAAATGCGAGAATTTATGATGAATTTGTTTTAATAAGCTAGCAATATCAATCGATTGAATGAATCATTATAAACATATGAAAAATGATTCATCATGTTTTAATCTTTTAACTCAAAGAAAAACATCTTTAATAGCGAATGTTTATTAAAATGATGTTATCATTTATTCGTAAACGACTTCCGTACAAAGATCGAAGTAATGAACATCTTCAAAATGCTAAATCAAATCATATTCAACATGAACATCAGGTATTTGAAGAAAAGTAAATTTATTCAATTTAGTTTTTATTTTAAAAGGATGATAATAATATGAAAAGAACACAATCTACAAATGAATTAAATTTGAATAATAATGATAATAAAAAAAAGAAGAAAAAGAAAAATAAAGAAATGTCTTCATCAACTCTTGATGGACTTGCTCTTGTTTCAAATACTTCACCAACTACTAATCGAATAAATAAATCTTATTCAGATATTGATTATTTTCCATTGATGCCTGAGGCTTTATTTCAATCTAATAACCATGACAAAATATCTAAAGAACGTGGTAAAAAACCATTTGATTAATTGTTTTTTCTTCTATTTAATATTTTTCCATTTGAAAGATTCATTATCTGATTCTTATTTAAATCCATCGGAAAATGTGCACACAACAAGTGATATTAATTATGTACAAACAACAGTAATCAAACCGCGAGTATTTGAAATTCCAGTGATCGATTGTCGTAAAGAGCAACGAATACCGAATTATAAAGATGTTGATCATCAACGAACTCAAGCTATTAGACAAGTTACTCAACAACGAACACAATAAAGGTTATTTTATTTGTTCGTCATATATAAAACAATATTTTTTTCTTTAGATTAATCAAATGAATTTTCTACATTTAATACAACAATTTCATTCCATGATATTATTTTTTTTCATAACTGAGTTTTCGTTTATTAATCGTATGCATTTTGCTACTATTATATATTTTATTTCTAAATATAAATAAAATTTATTTATCCATTCAAAACAATCATTATTAAATGCAACTCCTTTCTAGAGTTATATTCTACGTCATACAATGTACTCTGTTCGAAATCTTTTCGATGGTTTTCAAAAAACGATCGATGAAGTAACAGAAACATTAAATAAATATATCCTATTTTTCCTCTTTTCTAAAGACCATCGAATTATCATATAAACAAATTTCATTGAACCAAGATATCGGTGCACTTCAACAACAAATGGCTGAAAATATTGGTACGCCTCCATTGGCAATGTTAAAACAACTGGAAATTTACTGCAAACAAAAAGAAATCGAGTTAGTTAAGCAAAAACTTAAATTGCTTAAATTTAAACGGGACTTGGGTTTTAAATTTTGATTTGATATAACAAGGTTCATTTTACTTTTATTTTTATTTGATCATTATTAACGTTTCAAAAAACATTATTGATTCTTTTTCTTTTACTTTTATTAATACACAAAGTATAACGGTTCAGGGATCGCAGCGAGGTTGTGTAAAAAAAGAAAAAGTTTGAAAAGGTTTTTTCAAAGAAAAAGAAGGATTTTGTTAAAAAAAGGAGGAAAAAAAGGAATTATCCAAAGAAGAAATTTCCATTGAAGCACTGCTTATGAAAATAGCAAACTGTAAAAAAAACGTCAAGTAATAAGAGATGGTATTAGAGCTCGAACAAAAAAATTATTTCGAACTCATGAATTGGTCACTCTGCAAGAGCTAAAATCGATTAGATAATACGTGAGAAGAGAAGAGAAAAGAATACTAAAAGATGACCCGTTGCATTTCGATTATTGCGAACAAATATATTTTGTCATATCAATTACTTTAATTATTCTTGATAATTTTTCTTAGATCAAATTCGAGCTTCACGTTGCTGGTATCACACATATTTGTGAATGATAAACTGCATGTGAATAGGGTATGAGACATAAAGATGGGCCAAGATCAATCATGAAAATGTAGGTTCCTAATAGCAATCGCTTTTCATCGAAAACTGAATTTCTGGCACTAGAAAATCCGACTCTTCTTTTATTTACCTAAACAAAAACTTCCTGAAATTTTCGAAAGTATATCCTTCACGTTTCAAAATTTTCTAACTTTATTTTCATATTACAGTAAACCTCGTCTTTCTTTTCAAAGACTGTCGATGGGATTCGAGCTTTTCTAAAACGGGTTTGTAGAAGAGAAAAAACTGGAGAATTTAAGGGACTATAGTAGTGACGAAAAGTTTAGCAACAACGTATTTTGGATTTTTTGCTGTAATGTTAAACATCTAGCTTAGATCCAAATGGTGACTTTAACAGTTAATGGAGTGTTCTTTCAAAAGCACTCTATACCAAGATTTCATAGGTAACCATCAACGCTTCAAGAAAAGGAGGAAAAAAAGAGGAAAGGACCGCTACAGGGCCTGATAACGGCCGCAAGAGATAAGCTATTCTTATTCGATGTATTTCAAGATATGTATTATACAAAAAAAAATGGTTAAGTATGACATCTCTAGAGCACAAACAAACTTTTATCCCACAAGTGTTTTAAAGAAAAACAAAACAATAATTGTATATCAATTGAGCAATATCAATCAACGAAATAAAAGTGAATTTATGACATAGATAAAACCTGTTGCCGACTAATATCAATGTAATATAACCAAATTAAGTACAATCAATTTTAATATTGTTCTGTGCCTAAAAGTCATAATATTCACTAGAAAAGTACATCAGTTAACTGAATATGAAATTATTTATTTTGTTTTAATTGTCTATAGAACGTATATACAAAAAATAAAGCGCCCATTCAAACTAACGAAGGGCGATACATCCAATATGTTACACAGGAAACTCATATTTAAACTAAGCTCCAATTCTGCATGCTATTAATCGACGTCCTTCGCGTTCAATATCTTCTAAATTTTGATCAAAAAACCATTCCTATAAACGAAAAAAATCTCAATATCGATTAAACATATAGAAAGTATACTAACTATCAAATCCATAAAAAAATCAAAATCATTAATATTCCATTGTTTAACAATTTGATAAATTTGTTTTTGTCCAGGATTTTTGTTCATTTTGTAATCTAGTTTTGGAAATTGCATATTGAGAAGCATAAAAAATAGAACATGTATACTTACATTCACGTAAATATTGACGTTGGTCATTCGTTAGTTTTTCTTCGAATATTGCGATTCCTATATAAGCAGTCATGTTATGATTGTTGTCTCAAAAGAAATATTATTTGGAATGGATTTAAATTTCAAATCTAATTCAAGTCTCCATAGAATTTAGATTTAATATTGACAGTTCACATTAGTTCATCTATGGATACGAAAAAAATCAAGATTTCGATTTCTTTCGAATCATCTGTAAAGCAGTTACTTGATCAGTTGAAAAAAACGATTTACTGCTTTCTTATTTAGAGATCACTGTTTCTCCTTTCTCAGTCTTAAATAATCTATTAAAAATGAAACAGTCAAGTTATTTAAGCTTACTTATTGAGAAATAGTATAGAAAATCATTAATGTACTCCAAGAAAAAAAATCTCATATCATAGAAGCGATCTTTTTCCATGTGAAAGTCATTTGATGTAGAAAATGGCTCACTTAAAAGATTAAATTCATGGAAAGTCGATCTTACTATGTAAAGCAAAATACTGTCGAGATGTGTATTTATTCATTTATTGTTTACAACATCGTATTTTTCAAGTTAGAAATAGCATCATCATTTGTATAACAAAAACAACTAATTGTTATAATTTGTCTCATAAATATTCTCGAACCTAGTTGATTTTTCAATTAATATACATAAACAACCTCTAATAGATACATAAATTAATAGGCGTGTTTAGCTCATATATCGCGGAATTAAAGTTTATGAGTTGCTTCGAAACGTTGAAGTAAAGCTCCTGTATAGATTATGATGTATATTTCTCTTTACATTTTCATACGATTTTGATATAACGAGATGGTAATTTATGGACAACATGAATTTCTAATGAATTCGATCGTGAGCAGAAATGATTCTACCTATTTTTGTTCTCACAAATGCACTGATATTACTAAAATATGACATGAAAGGAAAAAGATAAGCGTAATCACTATTGTCATTAACTTAGTAATATGAGAAATCATTTTTTTTTGTGTTTCTCATAACTTACTTTCAGCACGATCATATACGTAATAGCGATCGACAGTAGGATAAGCCATAATAAAAAAACACTTTGTGCAGCTATATTAAAGATATAGCAGTTACTTATTAATTTTTGGTTTTGCTTTCAATAAATAATCCTTCAATCAATTTATATATGTTCTCATGTGTATTGTAAGACATAAATCATCAAGAAGCGAACATATCGAGCTTTGTTTCATGAATACACGCAACAGACGAACATATTATTTGTTATATATGAACATTTGATTGACAATAAAATGACCTGTATAGTTCATGAAGGAGAGAAAGAGCGTCTATACGTACATGAATAAAGAAAATCCGTTGAGCTTATATATTTGATGTGTACTGTGTTTGTTTTTGTGAAGGGTTTCTTTTGAAGAAATTTAGATTTTTATATTTATTAAAGAAAAAACAAACAAATCTAATTAATAAAACGTATAGAACCATATATTGTAAAGAAAACAATTCCACTGTTATTATATAAAACGCTTCAGACAACGAATTGAGAATTACGTTTTTGAGTGTGATCAAATAAATCAAACTTATCAAAATGTGTATACTAAATTTCACATGAATATCATCAATTATCAATACAACTTTTGATACATCTATTTTTTAATCGATATAAGATTTGAAACAAAAATGACATATTAAAATAGATAACATATATGAAAATATTGCACAGTCAAACACACGGTATGAACGAATATATTGGATAACACATAAAAATAAATGTTATAGTTTGGTCATTTTAAAACAGAAGAAATATATTATGGTTTAGACGCAAAAAAAGTAAAAGACGGGTAGCTGATATTATACATAATATTTATTCATCATCAGATACAGCTGTTTTCAAAAAAACTTGGACGAAATATTTCTTTTATCTTAAGATCTTTTTTCTATCATTCCAAGCAACTATAGCCGTTATTTTTTTAGGGTTGACTCTTCGACAGTTGTACTAAATAGTGCCCATAGAAAATTGTCGCTTCTCTTAGTTTTAATATATATTCCTATGATTACATTATCTTCTTCACCTTCATTTCTATTACATGATCTTAATAATTTAATCTTTTCAAATAAAGAGAGAAAAAAAGATATTTATTATGTTTTTTGAATTCCTTCTTTTTTTTTTTGAAGATTTATCAAATCTCGACAAATGAAAAAATGCTTTGAAAATAGCACAAGTGATTCAAGTAATTCGAATATTGAATTATTTTATTACCGTTTTCGAACCATTACAACAATACTCATAGTCATCATTTTTGTTTTTGAGCAGAAGATAATTCCCTATAGTTGATATTTCAGTTTTCACAGAAGAAGAGAGTTTCAAAGTTATAAATTTGAAGAATATATTTGATCATGTCTCTTCTAAAGGAATTTATTTGTTTTTTTTTCTTTTTTAAGAGAATGATAAAGGATCATTAATAACATCAAATACAGACAAAGTTTTAAAAAATTAATCATACACAATTCAGTGCTTTTGAAAATAATCCATCAATGATGAAATTATTCGAATTAATACGTTCGACCATATCAAATACATAAAATTTATTAAATTCATCAGAAAATGATCGTTTTGGACAATTATTTTAAATCAACATTTCAGTTACACAAGAGATAACTTCTTTTAAATAGTGAATATTTATTGTAAAGAATATTTCAATTATTAATTTTTTTTTTTTATTCATTGGTTAAACTAAAACCTTTTGGATATTGTATTAGGTCTGAAACTTGTCTATGGATAAAACTTTAGATGAAAATCTTTTATTAACTCCGACTGAAGTATTCACTAGTCAAAGAAACATTTGAATTAGTAGCCTTAATAATTATTTCAATACAATGTAGTATTTATGCGCAAATTTTTTGATCGCTAGTAAATTTATCGATAAAAATCTTGAACAAAAACTGTTCGAATTCTTCTGAAAAGTCATATTTTTTATAAATTTATTTATGGACTCATATCAAAGATGTGTTCTTTCTTAACTACTGTTTCCTCGTACATTGAGATAAGCTCAGTGAATGATAAAGTTAATTTCGTCAACTATTGTCTTTTTAAGAAGATTCATGGTTCCACAGACTACGTATGCCTTTTTCTTTTGATATCAAATATGATTGTTGTAGCTCTTTTCAAGGAACCATTGTCTTTGGGTGTGGGGTGTGGGTGTGGGTGTGGGGTGTGGATGTGGGTGTGGGGTGTGGGTGTGGGTGTGGGTGGGTGTGGGTGTGGGTGGGGTGTGGGTGTGGGTGTGGGTGTGGGTGTGGGTGGGGTGTGTGTGTGTGTGGGTGTGGGTGTGAGAGTAAGACCCACACCCCTACACCCACCCCACACCGCCACATCCACCCCTACACCCACACCCACACCCACACCCCTACACCCACACCCTATCACTACTGTAAATGCTAAAGCCATCATGATAAATGAAAATAATGTCATATTAAATTGTGGAACAACAATATGATATGCAGTTAAAATAATAACTGATGGTACATCATTGTCAATTGATTTGAGTAGAACGGTACCAGTCCCTGTTACTACTTCATGAATATTAAGAAGTAAATATTCCATTTTATATTCATGATGAACTTTAATAATACAGCGAGACATCGGATTGGTTTTGTTCAAGTCATTGCATGTTCCAATAATCCTATATGATTTATTAAATTTCTCAACAAAATATCGATATAAAACAGGATCTTTTGTTAAATGTTCATAGTCATTATTTGTATCATAATGATTAATTAATAAGACAAGAAAAACGAGTAAATACGAAATGATATGCATTATCTAGAAAGATTGAAATGGCGAGAATAGAACAATCGAATCGAATGATTGGTATAATCCATTTATTGTTTTCTAACCAAAACGAATAAAAATACGTACCAAATATTCAACAAAGAATATGAATAAGAGTAAGTACTAAATATCCAACAAGAATATGAATAAGTACTAAATATCTAAAAAGAATATGAATAAATACTAGATATCCAAAACGAATAAAAACACGTATCAAATATTCAACAAGAATATGAATAAGAATAAGTACTAAATATTCAAATATCCAATAAAAAAAATAAGTACTAAATATCTAAAAAAATTAAGAATACGTACTAAATATTCAACAAGAATAACTGAAGAAGTACTAAATATCGAACAAAAATACGAACAAGTACTAAATATCCATATATTCAAGAAGAATAAATGAAGAAAATGTGAATAAAAAGTAAAATGCGAAATCTGAAAAGAGAAATAAAAATTTCAAATACGAATTCGATAACACTAAAAAAAAATTCTTCTTAGCTCCATCTACGACTACGACTAAAACATATAAATAACAGGAAAATGAACAACTTTTATATAATAGCGTAACAAATAGCAAAGTGCTTTTTTATTTTACAAAATACCATCAAGATACTTTGTTTTTTTCAGTGAAGTACCAAACACAGTACTTTTTCAAAATCGTAAGTACCTTGAGTACTTTGTTTCTGCTTGAGGTAGTTAATATTAAAAACACTGTTTCCAACTAAGACAAAGAACAAAAGAACTCAGATGCAATGGATCTGTATGGTTAGTTGTTCAAACTAATCAGAAAAAATTATTTAGATTCAAGAATATACCAACAAAAACGTTTTTCAGTGAATCTTTCATAAAAATATTGATTATATAAAAATCGTTTCGTTAAGCAGATTTTCTAGACTATATGAAGAGGGTGCCACATTCTTGTATCTTTTGACTGTAGATTATGCACTCAAAATTCACCGTAATTCATGGTGAATTGATATATGGTCCAGATGACTTGATAACTATTACCATTCTGTATCAATAGAATAAAAATTGAATCTCATTCTTTATGACTCTGTTTCATATATTGAAAGATAAATATATTATCGTACTGTAAGTTTGCAAAAACAAATAAAGTCCAACCATGGTATACGTGCAGTTTAGATGATGAAGTCATTAAAGAAAAAACAAAAATTAAATTAACAACCATCAAAACATTCAAATATTATAGTAGAACATATAGTTTACAATATTTATT